GCAGCTTCAGTGATAGAAAGAGTACTGAAAATCATACTCAAGTAAAAGTAGCATTACTTACTACATTACTAAAATGTAGTGCAAGTAGAGTAAAAGCATCTGTTGTAAATATTTCTCAAAGTATGAGTAAAAAGTAAACCTTTCAAAAGTACTCATGAGTATTGAGTATTACGCTGTGAAAAGCTGATGCATTTACATGTAAATTGTGGATGTGTGTAAATGTGACATTCTGTAGTGCATTTAGTTATCGCCCACACAACATCATAGGACATTAATATTAGGTTAGATTTAGGTTGTGATGTCAGGTGACCAAAATTAAATGTCTAACTGAGTACAACATTATTTGAACGTCCAATGTAAGCACCATTAGCCAAGTGGTTAAGTGCGCCAACATATAGCACCATGGTGCTCAGGGCGACCCAAGTTCAATTTCCAGCTTGAGGTCCTTTGCCGACCCTTCCCCTCTCTCTGCTCCCAATACTTTCCTGTCTGTAACCTCCACTGTCATTTCCAATTAAAGGTGAAAACCCCCTTTAAAAAATCATTATTTTAACGTCCAATAATGACCTCAAATGATGTTGATATTTGGTCGATTTTATGTTGTTAGAAAGTGACCAAAATCCAATGTCGAGCCAGCATCTTAATCCAATGTCATATTGAGGTCAAATACTGACATTTATTTGTCAGGTAGGGCAACTGAAATCCAACATCTGATAGACATAGTGGTAACGTCCACACAACGTCAAGCTGTAACATCACTAGACGTTGGTATTTGGTTGGTTTTAGGTTAGAGGTTGAGCTCTGATGTCAACATGATTTTCATGTTCAAACAAAATGCAACGTCCCCATGACGTTAGGGTACAATGTCAATTTGACATCATGTTGACTTCTTGTGCTTGCTGGTTGTTTAAGGCCATTTCGGTCATCATACAGTAAACATCCACCATCTTCTCATCAGTGACCTGCATCTAAACAGTCTCTGGGTCAATACGTGTGAAGATTTTGGACAACTTCTTGGACACTTTTAATGCTTCCAAACAGTTTGCTGCAATTATAAATCGCACATGTCTTGAGGTAGTCCAGTATGAGGCGATTTACCTTCTGTGTGAGATTTGATTGGACGGGAATTACAGGACTGATTTCTCTAATACCCATAGACAAGACAAAATAAAGTAGTGACTGCAGGCTGAAGGAAAGTAGTGAAGTAAAAGTACTGATACAGCAATACAAATTTTCTCAAGAGAAAGTAAAAGTACAGGTTTTTAAAGCTACGTACTTAGTAAATTACAATTTCTGAGAAAAACTACCCAATTACAGTAAGTTGAGTATTTGTATTAAGTTACTTTACACCACTGGTGGCTCAGCATTGCTAAATCATTCATTAATTGTCTTTTCAGCTTAGTCACTTTATTAATCCGGGGTCGCCAAAGCAGAATGAACCACCAACTTATCCAGCACATGTTTTTACGCAGCAGATGCCCTTCAAGCCACAACCTATCTCCAGGAAACATCCATACACACTCATTCACACTCATACACAACGGACAATTTAGCTATATTCATCTATACCACATGTCTTTGGAGTGTAAAGGAAACCGGAGCACCTGGAGGAAACCCCGCGAATGCAGGGAGAACATGCAAACTCCACACAGAAACACCAACTGACCCAGCCGGCTTCTTGCTGTGAGGCGACAGCACTACCTACTGCACCACTGCGTCACCCAGCATTGCTAAATCCCTTTTGTTTTAATAAAAAATAGGATTATTTATTATTAAACATCGTGAGATGATGGTTGTGTGATTTTTTAAACGAGACTATGCGTTGCGTATTTATGGCTATTGATCTCATCTACCCGCGACCCACCCATAATTGAATAACAAGTAGCCGACATTTAGATTACCTGACCAACGGATAAACAGCAGGACTCGAGAATATGACAGAATCGCACATAACAGGGTTTTATGTGTCCCCAATGTGCAATCAGAGTGACTCCATGATGTAACACTTCACACTCTTTGTGTAATGTGTGAAGTCGTGGACGCATGTCAGTGCAAGGATAACTCATCCTTTAAATGTCTATGCTTAACCGTTAATAGATAAGGTCAATGGAATCGCAGGATTATAAACAATGTGTGTATATGTTTGGGTTGGAACAGCCTTCTGTTAAAAGATGTTTGTGTTCTTCCTTGCTACAGGAAAAAAACAAAAGAAAAAAATTAATTGCACTTTCATTGAAACCAAATTTATGAAGTATTGGTACTCAGTATCAGCGAGTACACAAATTAAAATACTCATACCTGTATCGGTTTGTAAAAAAGTGTAATCAGTGCATCCCTAAAAACAAGAATTAACAAGACTGAAGTGGCAGAATCCTGGCACATCAGTAATTTATATCAACTCACAATCCAGGCTTTATGTGTAACAGAGGGCAGCTAGTAGGTGCTAAGCATGTAAACCTCACTCCTCTGACCTATAAAAGGTGCTCTAGCAACAGAAGTTATAGGCCATGGTCTTTAGCCTCCTTGGTAGAGCAACCTACTCCCATGCGGAAGGTCGCCGGTTCGATACCAGCTCGGTTGGGTGGCGTAGGACCGGCGGAGTTACATATGCATAAAACTGCTTATTTAGATTTTTACACATTTTTTTTTTCTAAAGGTGAAAAAGTGAAATACAGGTAGACTCTAGAAAATCTACTAAATAATTCAAAATGATCAAGTCAGTTTTAGTTCTTCATGTCTGAACACCACAACATAAAGAAATTAATCCAAATTATGTAAAGATTTGAGATTGAGTTTGTTCAGTATAAATTATAGACATTATTTAGCCTAAATGTGTATATACTATAACAGTGCTTAGTGGAACAAATCATTCATTTACAAAAAAATATTAGTAATTAAAAAAAAACTTGACTGATTAGAGATGCTGATGAGAGATGAGTCTTTTTTCATTATATAAAACATTTATAATGAATTTACTAAAATAATATAATGTCAGTGTTTGCTGTTGAACAGTGATGTGACGATAACGACTAACCAGATTCATCATCTGTACACTAAAGAAAATGCTGATAATCAATAAAACGTGAAAGGATCTCAATTATTCATCCTTAACATTAGACAAATAACCAGAAACACAAATATCATAAACAAAAATGATGTGAATATAATTACCTGCACAGTAGGCTAAATTACAGGTAGTTGGTCTAAGCAGCTCATAGACGTAATAATTTCCTGGACAGGCTTTGACTCGAATAGGATAAGAGCCCAAATAGCAGCAGTATCCACCATCACAACCACAGACATCTCGAGTGACGACTCCATCCTCTACTGTTGGGTGTCCACCACGAATCCACAGTGGGATAGTAGTGCCACAACTATAGACTGCAACACATGTGTCTGGGATCTGAGCGCTCAGACCGTTAATGAAGAGCCGATACCAGCCGCTCCAGGAGACTGACTGGTCACACATGGTCACTGGCTTTGATGGCTGTCTGCTGTTGGCTCTCCATGGATCATCCAGCACAGTGTAGTTGTAACAGGGATCTGCAGAAAATTAAACCATAAATAAGAGAATAAAATCACAGTCTTATTATAAATGTTCTCAAAACACCAATTCCTAATGCATAATCTCATTTCACATTTGATATCTCCTGCATTTGCACCGTCATATATTTGTAAATCACCGTATATCTGTTTGATGCAGTGTTTAAGTTTAAATTAGTTTAAGTCATTGTCCTCATTATCCAGTCACATGTTTTTTTTAATCTAGCCAATCAGCTCTGTCTGATCTCTGACTGAACCATCATCAGGTCTCTTCATTACAGAGAGGATGAAGGTTTTTCCCTCACAGCAGCTCATCATCAGACTCTTACTGAAGCAGCATTTCTATATTTTACACTCATTTACAATTTAAACACACTATGAGCACTGTTCTGACCATCAGTGGAAATATGATATATGATTAATATAGATGTATTTATAACAGTAATGATAACATAAAATACAGTACAGCAAATTATCAAAAAAATCGGTTCTATTTTTAAATACAGTAACACATTATTTAACTTACATTTCTTTAACAAATGCATATTTATGATTCTATTTACTAAAAATACAAATTATGAACAAACATAGATCAAAGTTACTGAGAAAGGTTTGTAAAAAAAAGGTACAACAAATTGTGTTAATATATTAATGATGTGTTAATAAAGTTTCAGTTTGGATTTTTCACAGGTGTTTTACCTGCATTTTAATCATGTGCATCAGTTTAATCAGTTTGTGTTTTATGGTAATAGTGAATGTCTGTAACTTAAAGGAATGTTTCTGAATAATGTTCACATTTTTCCAACATACTGATCTCTTACAGTGTGCTAATCTGACAGTTTTTACTGAACTACTGTAACTATCCAGTATGTGCACTGTCAGGCCACACTGGCTGATTCACCGTTCAGTGATTTACTCTTTATGTGTGATATGCAGTTACCAATTACATTTCAGAAGAGCCAGATATCACAACACAACTGCTAATGCCTGAACACTCCTGTCCATCTTCTCTTATTGTTCATCTGTAGCTGATGTGTGGACTTCACTGATTTCATGAACAACATTAAAACAACATTATTGTCAATATCAAAGACAAGGTCAGCAGTGTTTCTTTACCAGGCGTGATGATCACCGGTGTGGCGGCTGTAGAGCTGTTGATAACACTGCCAACATCTGAAAATGTACATCAATAAAACATTATGAACAGATAAAAGTTCATGAAGGTGATGAAAACACTAGATATATGAGTTTATAATGTACATGTAAACCTATTCAGTGGTGCAAAACATTATAACATTCATTATTCCTGCTTTATATGATGCTTCACAGATGACAGATGCTGATTAACGATTCTACATGTCGAGATAATAAAGTCTCTATACATAAAAAAAAAACTTTATAATAATTTTATATTTAATTTTTAACACAAATATCAGATGTTAACACATAATGTCAGTGTGTGCTTCTAACAAGTGCACTAACTGGCCAACTACATAATCTTCAAAATTTAAAATGGCTGCATCCAGTCATAAACTGAAATAATGTGATATAATTACCTGCACAGTAGGCTAAATTACAGGTAGTTGGTTTAAGCAGCTCATAGACGTAATAATTTCCTGGACAGGCTTTGACTCCAATAGGAAAAGAGCCGAAATAGCAGCAGTAACTGCCAGCGTTACCACAGACATCTCGAGTGACGACTCCATCCTCTACTGTTGGGTGTCCACCACGAATCCACAGTGGGTAATCAGTGCCACATCTAGACACTGCAACACATGTGTCTGGGATATGAGCACTCAGACCATTAATGAAGAGCCGATACCAGCCGCTCCAGGAGACTGACTGGTCACAGTTGTAGCCGTTATTTGTATTATTGACGGATCTCCATGAGTTACTCAGCACAGTGTAGTTGTAGCAGGGGTCAGTCAGATTAGCTGTTATAACATACATATTTAATAAAAGAAATTAGCATAATTATATTTTTTAAATAATAAAATCCATCCAGAAGAACAGCTTGAGACATTTAACAATTCCCAATTGTTCAGTTTAATAATTCACAATTAATAAAGCTTAACAAAATATTTAATGCTGTAATTTGTCTATATTTCAATTATTCTTTATAATGCACTTAGAAGGTTATTTTAATACCAGTGTGAATGCAATATTTACAGTGTTAATACCAAAATGCAAATTAGGAATGGGCGATACTACAATTTTTTTATTCGATACAATACCGATACTTTTTGTTAAAATTTTTATGATACAATACCATTTATTATTTAAAATGTAAAAAAATCATTACATGTAAACATACATACACACTGCACAGTTACACACACACACTTATATGTATTCACTTAATGGTAATGAGAGAGATGATTTATTAATCTGATCTATTATTTTATTTGTATTTAATCAATATACTATATATTATAATACTATACTAGTATTTGCTGTGTTTATATATATATATATATATATATATATATATATATATATATATATATATGTATGTGTGTATGTATGTATGTAAGCGTGTGTATTCTTTTTAATGTAAACTTTATAAATACTTTGTAAAAACATTTGTAACATTTGTCATGCCAATAGAGCAATTAGCCAAAAGAGAGAGAGGGAGAGAGTTTTGCCTCCTTTAAAACTCTCCTATAAAGTATTTTTGTCAGACAGAGGGAGACTGAGCAGAGGAACACTGGGCAGCTTGTTTTTGTTCAGCTTCTGTATAAGTTTCAGGGTTTGTTTGTAAGTGTTTATGAAGGCTGCTTGTATTGATGCTGTGTAGGACTGTCTTATCACAAATATTGCTTGTGCAATGCTTTTTAGCTAATGAGCACGACAACACGCTGCGTTACCTCTCTAACATTCTACGCCATTATGCACTATTCTACGCCATTTTGTAGTATAAACAGTTTAAGTAGTGTGTTCACACTGAAAACTCTAAAAATGTGCACTTTAATTAACCGTTTGATGCACTCATTCAGCCAGTAAAATGAAGTGTGTAATGATGGACACTTCACGCACTCAACGACCGCAGGTTTACTTACGTAGCGGAAGGGGTGGAGCTATCGGACGCACATGTTTTGTTTTTTTTGTTTTTTTGTTGTATTTACAAACATAGTACAAGAGAATATATCTCACAACAGTTAAGAACATAATAAAAATAAATAAAATAAAATAAATTATTTCAGTTATACTAAGTATAAGCAGATACCAGGGGTAGAAAAATAAAAAGGTAAGATGTCAATAATTAAAAAAAAAAAAAAACTTATTCAATCAATTGAAATTTACATAATGCCTCATACGTTTTTTTAGCTTTTCTGTTTTTTATGTTATATAATGTAGTACCATATTGTTAAATCTCCTTTATAAAATGAACACAATTTGGCTTAGCCTTGAGATGGTATACAAGAACTTGGTTGAAAGTGTTGTGAGTTTTAACATGATAGCATGGTATGGACTGTTGCCAATGAAGGAAAAGCAAAAACTGTGTCGAGTAGTAAAAATTGGCAGTACTATTGTAGGTAAAGCGCAAAAACAACCAAATTAAATTTGTTTAATGAGAATAAGACAGAAAGCACACATCATTGTTGAAGATTGTTCCCAACCCTTAAATATCAAATTTCAGCTCTTGCCATCAAAAAGATGTTTTAGGCAACCTCAAGTAAAGAAAAATGTGTATTAAATGTCCTTTGTGCCAAATGCTATTAGAATTTTAAATACTGGGTTTTAATTATGTGTAGGGTTTTAAATTGTGTTTTTTAATGTGATATATGTGACGACGTTGAATATATTTGTGTTGAATGTTTTTTTCTGTGATGTGTGTAATGTAAACGCTGATGTGGTTGTGTGGTGAAGCCAAAGATAAATTTCCACTTGTGGACAATAAAGAAAGTTAAAAAAAAAAAAAAAAAAAGAAAGTAAAATTAAATTATTAACACTCTTCACTTCTTTACTTTTTTTTTTTTACAAAAAATGTAATGTCATCAGCTAATTGACTGAGTTTTATTTCTTTGTCAAACACTGAAATTCCTTGACAATTTTCTTTTTTAATATGAGTAGCCATTACTTGTGCAACTAATAAAAAAAGAAAAGGAGATATAGGGCAACCTTGCCCTATCCCACGGCTCATTTTAAGTCCCATGAGATAATTGGACTGAGCTATTGCAACCATTATAAAGAGTTTGAATTGCATTTTGAAAAAAAAATACCAAAGCCAAAAAATGCAATAACTTTGAACATAAAAGAGTGTTCAATAGTGTCAAACGCTTTATAAAAGTCGATAAATAATATTAAACTGTCCTCTTGTATAAAATGGTTATAGTCAATTAGGTCAAGAATTAATCTGTTATTTCCAATAAACCGTCCCTTCAAAAAGCCTGATTGTTCTTGATCAATTATTATATTTAAAAATTGTTTAATTCTTTTGGCTAATATCAGAGAGTTAATTTTAATATCATTGTTTAACAAACTAATTGGTCTCCAATTTTCCAAGTACAATTTGTCTTTGTGAGATTTTGGTATTGGTGTAATTACTCCTTGTTTTAGTGAAGCTGGACGCTCTCCAACTATAATTGATTCTTTAAAAACAGCAAGTAAAAAGGTGCAAGAATATTACCGAAAGTTTAATAAAATTCCCCTGTTAACCCATCACTTCCAGGAGATTTATTTTCTTTAAGACTATTTATACAATTTATTACTTCGACTATATTTAAATCTTGATCACATGAATTTCTAAAATCAGTGTAAATTTTATTAGTATTTTCCGATAAACTGCTAAGGAAAAGTTCTATATCAGTATATCGGGCGCACATGTTGGATAACTTTATTTATTATGGATGGTCAAATATCTCCTGCGAGAGTGATTAAAGTGCCTCCCAATGGTGAATGCGGTTATACTCACAGCAGGTATTATTTGATAGTTTGGTCATTTATTTCACTGATTTGGCGACCGTCAAACGTCATCAGGGAAACAGTTTGAATTTCCGCTTAGTAAAAAAACATCATAGATGTGCCTCCCAATGTTATCAAAGAACTGGATAAGATTCTCTATAACTTTATTTGAAGAAATAAACCACATTATTGAAAAAAGAGGTTATTTGTAATCCTAAAGAGCAAGGCAGATTGGAGGTTTTAGATTATAAATGTCACCGACTCGGTCCCAACCATTCCCCTCGCTGGCCAGCAGAGGTCCCCATCACCGGACTTCTAACCATTACGTCATGCCTATACACTAATTGCTACACACCTGCAGCACATCTCACTGATGACCCACGCACACACATATAAGCAGCCTCAACACTCACTCCATTGCGAAGTCTTGTTCTGCCCCTGCTGACATTAATGAGCGTTCATCTCCTTGCCTGATCTCCCCGTGTATTACCTGGACTGTTCCTCGACCTTGCCTTGCCTGCCGCCTGCCTTGAACCTTGCTTTGTACTTCGACTTTGATCCACTCCGCCTGCCCCGAACCCAGCCTGCTATCTCGTCTCTGAATCACGCCGCCTGCCTCTGCATCCCTGCTAATACACTCCTTGACAACCAGCCGCCTGCCCTTAGACCCAAAATAACTACATTTGATTTGAGTTCGGATGCTAGTGCGTATTGTGTGATTGTGATTAAACTGTGTTTAATAAATATACTGCAAATGGATCCCTCTGTGTCAGACTCCTCGTTACAACAATACTCTTAATGACACTTTTAAAATTAAATGGTTGATTGAATTTATAAAAAACAGACACAATTATTACAACGTATTTCCCAATTATATTCAATACTGGGTGGCATAGACTTCTTGTTAAAATGTAATTTTTCTGTTGACAATTCCAGTTAAATTGGCCAGCTTTCATAGGCAAGCCCTTCTATCATGGAAATTGATATATAAACACAATTTTTCACCCCACAATTATTTCATATGGAATAACAAGGATGTTTTATTTAAAAAAAAAAAATCTTTATTTTATCAGAATTGGTTTAGTAATGGTATTATGTTAGTGAGGCAGATAATTAACCGTTTGGGATATTTGTTATCTTATATTGAATTTCTTAAAAAATTTAAATTACCAGTTAAACCAAGAAAATTCGCTGTTGTTTTGAATGCAATTACAAAGGTTGTGGTCTTGCTTTTAAAACACAATATTTCAGAAGAGATCTACATAGGTAATCCTTGTGTAAACATTTTCATTGAAAATATTGATGTATTAAAACAACAATGTAACAATAAGGTTATAAAGAATGCTCTCCGTTCGTTGGCTCTAACTACAGCAAGACATTTGTGGCTTTCATTATTTGCTAATATTTCTTGGAGTAAAGCTTGGAAGTTGACATAAGTTTTGCTCAAATAACAAGATCAAAGAAGTGTCGTACAAAATACTCCATTGAATTTATCCAGCTAAACATGCTTTGGAAAGATTTAAACTCAATATTTCATATATGTGTGAATTTTGTGGTCAAGAAAAAGAAACAATTTTGCATCTTTTTGGAAAAATTTGGAATTTATTATTAACACAAAAATGGAGTATAAGGTAGAAATTGGTTTATTTGATGTACGGTTTTATGCTGATAATGAGTACTTGAACTGTAAAAGACAAAATATGTTTAATTTATGTTGTTAGGAAAATATCATATACATAAGAAAAAGTATATATATATATATATATATATATATATATATATATATATATATTTTTTTTTTTTTTTTTTTTTTCAGAAATATGTGAAATGTAAAACCTCTCGTTCTTGTGGCATTGAGTTAATAATAAATAAATAAATAAATAAATAAATAAAGCTTAGTAAAAAAACATTAGTGCTCCATTTGGGACAACACTACATAAATATACTACACTGTTGAGTATGTAAGTGCATAAGTACACAGTGCATGAGTGCATAGTGTATAGTGTGCCATTTGGGACGCAGCTATAGTGTGTGACATGATTGTGTTGAGTATAAAAGTTATCTAAAAGGCACATGATCACTCACGTGACATGCCACCGCAGATTGATTGGTGTAACATTTTATATATAAAGCGTCACAGCGCTAAAACATTTATTTATTCAGAAAATAATAAAATATAGTTGAAATCTTGACACTTAAAAAAATATATTGATACCAAATTAGAAGCTTCTAAGCATCGATGTGCACATCCCTAATGCAAATCACTATCACCTTTTCTGGGACTTCTCTATTACATACAAGATATCTTTAAATCTGTGATGCACATTGATTTTATTTAGTGGATATAAACCAGAGAAATGGTTAAGAAGACATAAATATTTAATGAATATCCTCTGGGTGGCTGTCAAAAAGAGCATTACCAAAAACTGTTGTAGCAAGAATATCTATTTATGTCTAATAAAATATCAGTTTATTAGAAAATCATTTAAAAAAAAGATATTCACACTTTAAAAATATAAAATATATAATTAAGTGTTACACATACTTGTTCTTGTAGATATGCACAGGCTTTAGATGAAGAACAATTATTCATTTACAGTATTATTACATGCTGTCTTTCCTATTATTATACATATTATATTCAAGTTATAAGACGCTAATACAATTAAGATAATTACAGATATATATTATAAGCTGAAATTCTAAATACACTTATTTCCTAATGGTAACAATTTTATTTATTTATTTATTTTTTACAATTTATAATTATTTTGCAACTACTAGAAATCTAGACTCCTGTAATACTGTGCTACTGTGCTCTGCCTCACCAACTAACCAATGATTTCACAATAATGACGGTATTCAATATTAAATAAAGACAATATTCATTGTGTCAGTAATGGAGAGATCAGACATGAGGTGCTCAGAAAACTGTCAATCAGAGTTACTGAAACAGCAGGAATTATTGAGAAAAACAAGACAGTGGAGCATTACATCTCTATTCAGTTAAAACACAGCAGACAACAGTATAGTACATTACCAGCTGTGCTCATCACTGGTGCAACCATTAGAAAGGCCAAGATAAGTGTGGAATCTTCTGAAAAAAAAATGTAATTAAAATGGACACAATTAAGTGTTAAACAGGCTTTCATTTGACAGTTCATGCAAATATTTCTTATCATCTTTTCTCACTCTATTATGGGATTTCCTCTCTATCCTATAACAGGGTTTCTGCAGGTTTCACCAAGTTAAATTTAAGACTTTAAGATATTTTTAAGACCAATATGAATGCAATTTTTCAAATGGCTCAGATGAAAAATATTTTTTAACCTATCAAAAAAATCTTATAATTTAATAATACAATAATAAATTAATAGTAAATATAAAATATTTTAGATATTTCTTAGCAAAATATTTTAAATATTGTGTAAAACCATCATCTCTGTATTTGCATCCATACACCTTTTTCTCAACAGAAAATTTCATTGAAATAAAACTTTTTTACAAATGTTTTAAAAGATTTAAAAAGTATAATTATATAAATCTATGAACAACAATCGGTCCAGGTCAGTGTCCTCAGCAGAGAATACATGGAGCACTTTTAAACAATTGATATTGTAAGGGACATAATTAAAGCATTATGATAAATAGAGTTAAAATGACCTTTTTAAATAAAAAGTTTAAATTTGTATTGAGATGATTGTTGGTGATTGGTGTTGGCCAGATTGGGTAGCTATACAAAGGAAAACCAAAGGAAAATTAAGACCTGTTTAAATGAGATTTAAGACCTACAACACAATATTTTAGTAAATTAAAGACTTTTTAAGTCCTACAACTTAGATTTTGGGATTTAAGACTTTTCAAGACCCTGCAGAAACCCTGTATAATTTGCTACATAATATTCTACACCCGTTTACTATGATGAATCTTTTCAAACAAACCAAAAAAAATAAAAAAATTTGCACCATAGCAGTCCAACACAAAAACGTCTTTAAAGATTGATTTGTGTCCCATATTTTCAAAACTCTAAAGTAACTAATAATGAATAACTAAAATATTCTGGATGAACAATTTAATTTCAAGTCTGAAAACTTTAGATATTAAAGTGGACCCATTATGGCTCTTTTTACAAGATGTAAAATAAGTCTCTGATGTGCCTAGTGTGTGTGTGTGTGTGTGTGTGTGTGTGTGTGTGTGTGTGTGTAGTTTCAGCTCTAAATACCCCACAAATAATCTGTTATAACTCTTTGAAACTGACCCTTTTAGGTTTTGATCCTAATTGTGCCATCTTGGTGACTGTCGCTTTAAAGGTGCAGTATGTAAGTTCGTCACCCAGTGGTTGAACTAGGTATTGCACTCCTGGATCAAAACAAGCCAATGTAACCTGCTAACCTAATGCATATCATTTGCTTATTAATAACCTTTCCAAAAAAGCCATTTTGGAATGAAAACTCTAATGGAACAACAGCATATTACAAGTCTGCAAACTAAACTATTAAAAGTGCTGATGATTGTGATAGTTAGTGCTGTATTGTTATTTGTTAGGTTGTATCTTAGCTTTAATGCACTTTTTAAATAAATAAATAAAAAATAAAGCAGCTGCTTGCCATTACGATAGCGATAGGACCCAATGGAGAGCGACCGCTTTCACTCCAAAATGGCAGAATCCGGGACTGTTGCTGGGCGCTGCTATTGCAATGGAACATTCTAGTGGCAGATTCAAAAACAAGACTGACATACTATGCTAATGAGGGACAGATGGTCACTAATGGGCGGGGCTTTCCCCCTCTGATGATGACACGTACAAAGGGAGAATGTCAATCAAAGTGTTTTTGCAGACTGTTTTTATCAAGTCTGATTATAAAAATACAATTAATATATGTTTACCAATAGAAGCTGCTTATTCACACACTGCTGCCACACATGTTTACTTGCCTTATAAAACAGACTTTTGCATAATAGGTTCCCTTTAAGTAGTTGAGTGTTTGCTTTCCACAGATCACCAACACACTTAAGTTGTACTTTTATCAATGCAAATAAATGAGCCACTGACACACTTGAGCTTTCAAAGCAGTTACAATGAGTTTCATTTAAATATTTTCTCCAAGTGACTTTTGTCCAAAGCAAATACAGATTGTGTTACTGTAGCTCTGACTCAAAGACACTTATTCATGCATCACATCTAAAATTTTACTGCATTTAAATAGTAAACGTGTGTGTGAGATCGATCAACATGCATGAAAATGTTATACGTACGCATTATGACAGAGATGGTGCTCAGTCCTTTTAGAAACCCTAAAATATGAAAAACACAAATGATTCTGTAGTGATTTGTACTGCAGTTTGACAATGTGAAATCTTCATTCATTATATAAACTCAGCAGAGTGATAAGAAACAATCTTACTTTTATGCAGAATTATGCCGGTCATTGTCATCTATGACAGATGTGTTTCTTTTTATCCACTAATCAGTCCAGAAAAGGAGTTTCCCTTCATAGTTCAGAGAAAAAAATCAATTAGGATTGGCTAAAATGAAAAACAATCACCAAACATACAAATAAATAAATAAATAAATAAAGGTTTTGTTTTCAATTTATTTCACACAGACAAGTTTTACAATCCCTGTAGGAGTTCTACTTGCATAATTCTTTTTGTACTGCACACACTGTAAATTCTGTCCCTCTGCCCCAACCCTGAGCCAATTTCTCACAGAAACAAAACATTTTTAAAGTTCTATAAAACAGTCCTGACCTGGTCTAAGCCCAAATTAACTACACCCAAATCACACAATCCTGGCATGACTTACATGATTCATCAACATTTTGAACAAGAGCGGAAAGATCTTACCTGATGTACTGTGAGCTGAAACACAGTGGTCTTCACCTGAAACAGTTGACTGCCAAACAAAGTCAATATTTGTTTGTTGTGATGTTTACCGTTAAGTTATCGCTTCATCATCCATGACGAGGAAATATGAGCTCGTATGCACCGTTTCCTTGAATTCAAATTTTTATTCAAAGTAAACAGTAAACTTACAAAGGCCTTCACAAACACAGCTACAATATCATATTGTTTATTAAGACCTTGAAAATACACCAAAAAGATCACCTGAATGAAAAGGAAAATGAATCATTCACATGCTTTAATGCATGGCAGCACGGTGGCTATGCGGTTAGCATTGTCACCACACGGCAAGAAGGCCACTGATTTGAGTTTAAATTGAGTTTATCCAATTTTCCAAGGACGACTCCGGGGTAAATCGGATTACTCAGAAAAAAACTCACGTATCATGGGGAGAACATGCAAACTCAACACAGAAATGACTACTGGCCTAGCCGGGACGCGAACCAGTGACTTTCTTGCTGTGAGGCAACAGTGCTAACCACTGAGCCACCCATGTTGCAAATATTCCTTTGTCAAAATATAAAACAGTCCTTGTGGATGAAACATTCGTTTTGTCTGTGACAGCTTTCGAGCTTGACATGCAAATATAATTTATGAAACTTTTTTACAGCTCAACTTTTAATGTATAACACTATGAAAATGAAAACATGTGGCCTCCCTGCTTAAATATATTCACTCATTTACATGACATTGTATGACGCACATCAATATTTAAAATGTGAAATGATCACAATCAGCATTCTGAGCTCAACAAACAAAATATAATAATGCAAGATCAGTAAATAAAGAACTTCACAACTCATCATCTGATTACATATGACGCAAACTCATGTTATTTCCCTTTACCATGAGCTTAAATGTTTTTAGACAATTACCTAAATTTAACTGAAAATATTTAATAATTATTTTAATAACCATTTACAAAGCATTATATAACAACAATCAGCCATGCTATATCATTAACAATCTGCAACAATATGCTTTTTTTTCATTCACCAGCAATAACCCAGATGACATGATAATTAATGCCAGACATTTAACAATAAACATAAAAAGGCTATATCATATAAAACATCCTGTAAAATAGTGTCGGTTTTATTTGTTGCACTTGATGCTGTGTCCAGAGCAAAGACATGTGAAGCAGTTCTTGTACTGTTGCCTGATCTGAAGAGAAAGGAAGCTGAGTGAGTTTTAGAGATAAATATAACCTCTGAAATGATCAGATTGATGAACAGTGAACGCTAAACAGATTAACAGAGTCAGACAAAGAAAAGTGATAAGAAGACTGACAGAAACTGAGAAAAATATAAAGAAAAGGCATCATGTGTGTGTTTGAACACAGAGAAACACTCAGTTCAGATATTTTTTAAATGTCTGGTGAACACAGTAACCTCAATTTTATAATCAATAATTTCAGATATTTTATGCAACCATATGTCAGCAATACATGCATTATCAACTACATACAGTAATACATGAAAAAGCAAAGCAACTATCAGCATGACTGAGTTTATGAAACATAATATGGAAAATGAGTTACTAATAAGTAATAAACTGAAGGGGACCAACAACAGAACACAGCCTTGAGGGCTTTTAGAAGATTTCAATTCAGTGGCAGCATTGAAGAAGTGTCAAGATAGCAAGACAGCAGAGACTAAAACTGAGTTAATGTCTGACCTTAATATTGAGCACACAGTAGTGTGCTTGATAACCTGTAGACGCCTTTTTAAAGACACAAAAGTAGAGATATTTTTGTTATCACTGCCATCATAAAGAGGAAATATCCACTGTTTCCTTCTTAAATTCAAATTTACAACAGATGCTCACATCAAATAAACTCAATATAATATCATATTGTCTGTTAAAACGTTAGTTTAATTAAAAAAATAATAAATAAAAATGATAACCTGAAAAAGTGAAAAGTAATCATTTGGTTGCTTTAATGCACAATATATACACAAGTAACATCACCATCATCATCATAATGAAACAAAAGCCAAAGTCGAATTTCATGCTTAAATTCAAAAATATTAACAAGAAACTTCATTCACTCATATCTCACGAACCCATATCCATCCATGAGAGAACATCCATTTCCTTGTTAGTGAATTTTCAAAAACCTTCCACCCAACCTCAAGTGCAGGGTCATCACGATGCTGGTATTTGGGACCAATCGATACTGAAATTTTAAAATCGGCCATTTCCTACTGACATTTGAGCACTACTTAGCATGCTCTTCAACAGCGCTGATTTGTCGTTGTGTTTACATGCTCAACAGAAATGACTGTGAAGGTCATCAATTCACAAACTCATCGCAGTTTACTGAGTGTAACCACAGATATACAAACACTGGAGCGTTTCAAAGTCATGTCGATTAGCTGGTTTGTCTACAAACTGACATAAGAGCAATCCGCTGATGAATCACAGCTTTAAAATGCTCCAGTGTCTCTTTATCTTTGGTTATACTCAGTAAACAGCGATGAGTTTGGTGAACTGATGACCTTCACGGCCAATCAGTCCTTTCTGTTGAGCACATGAACACAATGGCAAATCAGCGCTGTTTAAAAACGTGCTCAGTAGTGCTCAAATGTCAGCGGGAAATGGATGTTTTTAAAATTTCAGTATCGATTGGTTCTGAATCCGATTGGTGGCCAGTGTCAGCCAAGTCAGGGGGGCTCAAGCTCGGTCCTGGAGGGCATGTTTTCTGTAAAGTTTAGTTCCGAATGCAAGCTTGTGCAACAAGTTTAACATGTGAAATCGCATCACGTGAATGCATGAGACCAATCGATGATGAAAACATCACCTTTCATACAGAAGATTCAAATATGGACCAAATTGCGTTTTTTTTTTTTAATGTCTAATCAACTTGTTTAATCCTGCATCTTTTTCGCAGTGCCGTACAACAGAATTTTGGATACTCAAACACTAGTGTGACCACAGCATTACTAGGCTTTCTAGAAAAATCCATGCACATGTGTTGAGGTAAGTTAAAGCTAAAATCTGCGATTTGCGTAGGCAGCTGCCAGTAACTGATAGGGATTTAGTTATTATAATGCAACAATAACAAATATGCAAAAACATTTAGACCTGACTCTCTATTTTTACAACAACAAAAGCTAAGCGGAATATAATGTTGGCAGTATTAAGAAAAGCTTAAACATCACATTTTAAATGTTATATATCAAGCTATGGCATCACGGTGGCACAGTGGGTAGCACAATCGCCTTACAGCAAGAAAGTCTCTAGTTTAAGCCCATGCTGGGTCAGTTGGCATTTCTGTGTGATGTTTGCATGTTTTCACCGGGTGCTCCAGTTTCCAAAAACATGTAATATAGGTGAACTGGGTGTGAATGAGTGTATGAGTGTTTCTCAGTAATGGGTTGCAGCTGGAAGGGCATCGGCTGCGTAAAACATGCTGGATAAGTTGATGGTTCATTACGTTGTGGCGACCCCGGATTAATAAAGGGACTAAGCTGAAAATAAAATGTATGAATGAATAATTGAATGAATGAAGCCATCTTCCATCGGATTTCTCCATTTCTTATTTCAAACTACAGTATTTTTCTCAAATTAGTGTGAGTATAACCGGAAAAGCATGCCTAAAACTCAAACATTATAATACTTATTGTAATAGCAAACATTAAAGTAACACACAAAAAAAAAAACGATTGCGGGCAGAATTAAAGCAAAATTAAATCTTATAATTAATAAGCTAAGAAATATTGAGCCAAATGACGATATTTACTGTAAATTAGAGAAGATGCATTAGCTGTTCAGTTTTTACAGCTTACGTTTAAATGTGTATCAAGACCCAGATTAGATGGCCCTTCCTCCTAAAAATGCATTAACCCTTTTATGTGACATTGTATGATGCAAACATGTGAAAACACAAATTAAAATGATCAGTCAGCATTCTGAGCTTTACAAACTAAAATATAACTATGCAAGATCAGTAATTAAAGCACTTTACAACTCATCATCTGTGATTACAACAACAAAATTCCCTTTACAATAAGCATGCGCTTACATTTTATAAAAACAGCTACATTGAACTGAGAATATGAAATGAGTAAAATGAACACATATTTAATTTAACATCATTAATAATCTGCTACAATATTATTTTTTTCACTCACTAGCAAGAAAACCAAGTGGTTTAATAAACAGATGACATGACATTTCACATTCAAAATAAAAATGCCAATAATGTTGTATTTCATTTGCTGAACGTGATGCTGTAGACCTCAGTATTTTTTGTGTCCAGAGCAAAGACATCTGAAGCACTGCTTGTATTGTTGCATGATCTGCAGAGAAGGAGAGCTGAGTGAGTTTTTGCAGATCAGTTTAACCTCTGAAATGTATTAATCTTTTTAAATAAGGAAGAGTAAGCTGTTTTCATGATGGGTGCTATCATGGTGTAAGTGAAGGCCTCTGATATCTCAGGTCTCTGGCATCATAGACTGGATTTATATTTGGTCAGAGGAGAACTGGTCACCCTGGCTGAGTCTGGTTTCTCCTAAGATCGGTTCTCCACTTCTGTCAACTGAACTGAATGACAAGCATTCCACCACAACTGTCCTGTATGCCGGATGTAATGGAATGTACCATAGATTGAAATATTGTCATGACTTTCTCTTTTCTCTATATATCTTAAGATGCTTTGACACAATCTACATTATAAGTGCTATAGAAAGGATGACTTCAGAGTCTGCTCCAGTTCTCGACTTTGCAATAGAGCCAACTTCTGCCTGTTCTCTCCTGGCCTGCTGGCTCTTCCCTGGATTTATGCTTTGCCTCAGTGTCTTGGGCCTTTTCCCAGTGCAGACCTGACCTCCTAAGCCTTCAATTTGTTTGTTTGTGCTCCACAAGCCTCCCAGGCTTTGCTTTTTTGCTGTTCACCTAGTCATTTTTGTGGGGGCTAAGCCAAGGCCCTATTGTATGTCTGGTAATTCATCCTACTCTTTTATTGGCTGTACTTTAGTTACTTTTTTGTTTGTTTTAATTATGATCTACTGCATTCTCATCTTTCCCCTGACTCAACTGATATTTGGAAATTGTTATTACACTGAAGAGATGTCAAGATAGCAAGACAGCAGACAGTAGAGGCTCAAACTGAGTAAATGTCTGACCTCATTATTGAGCACGCAGTAGATCACGAAGATGAAGGTTCCCTGCTGAGAGTTCAAGACCAGGAAGAGGATCTCCAGCACCTCACTGCCATTAATGAAGAAACCCAGAATCCAAGGACAACCAAGAACCACAAACTGAGACAGTGTTTTAAATGCCAAAATCCTGTAGAGAATCAAAGAGCATTTTTGTTTATTAAATAAAACATAAGTAAACTTTTCTGGCAATATGGTAACTGCTTGAGTGAGAACTTTTAAAAATGGTATTTCCAATAGTGACAAAAACAGAATCTTACTTAGTTTGCTTCATCTGTGAGACTTCAGCATTTAGATTTTTGAGAGTCGAGTTCAGAGTGAGGACGATTTTAATGAAGAAAATCGTGTTTAACTGCAGAAAAAAATATATAATTTGTTTTAATAAATATATATAAATAATAAATTTATAAATAATAAATATATACATTTAAAAGCCTATGCATCACATGCTAGAACTTACTGCTAGTATGACACAAACAGGACCCAGAAAACTCCAGATAAACCCTTCAGCAGTTTTAATCCAGCATCTGAGGAAAGAAAAAAAATATTGAATAAACACATTTTAATCTTGCCTGTGATGTTGATACCTTGCATATATGTCAATAGAGCTTTGCAGTGTCTTAAAGTTAAATCAATATATTGTTTTTTACATGCAAGTAGACAAGATGATTTTCACATAATACACAATTCAGTCAAAAGTCCTGTCGACAAATAATCTGTTTTTCATTGAGTTATTTTAGTGACTTTCAAATTCAATTTTTCACTAACCACGTGTAAAAATCAATTATTTCGCAAAAACGCAATGTTGTACAGACAGCAAATGTAACTAGCATATTAATGTAGCCCAGCTTTTGCTGTTTACAGTGGTATAGGGCAGTGTTTCTCAACTGGTGGGTCGCGACTAACATTTTCAGTGGGTCACGGAGTGTGGTCAAAAAACAACAAAAGTTATGTTTTTTACTAATTTTTCTTATACCGGACTTTTATTTTGAAATGCGTGCGCGACAACCCTACTGTTTGACATGTGAAATTTCATCTAATTATTGCAACAAATACGTCAAAGTGCAAGTACGACCCCTAATATGTAAAGTATATATATATATATATATATATATAGATATAGATATATATAGATATAGAAGACAAAAAAGACTTAAAGCCTCAGTGTCATATGTAGTGAGGTGCTCTCATAAGAAAGCATTAAACCCTCTAAATTAAGTTGACATTTAGAAACCAGAAAACATGTTTTATAAATAGTTTATAATTAACAGTATTTGTCATTTTTACTTTGTAATATTTCTATAAATTGATCCATTTTGTTAAAATGATAGCAATAAAATTTGTTTATTTGTAAGTCTTGGTGAATTTCTTATGATTTATCTGTCACTACTTGTTTATGTTAACAAATAAATATAAATTAAGTATAGTTCCTAAAATTGTAGTTCATAAAAATTTAGGTCGCGGCTTGATGACCATGTAAAAATGTGGGTCCCATGGCCAAACCAGTTGAGAACCCCTGGTATAGGGTGTATGCATAAGGTTTTCAATTTTCAGTAACCCAGTTAAAGTGCTTCCAGTGAACTGTATGCTGTTACAAAATCGCAGCATTCAAGGTCTGTTTTCTTAAAAAAAAATCAATGATCTTCACTACCGGACTGATATCCGATATAAAGTGGGTCACAGAATGTACAAGAAGCTCTGCATTAAATTACATTTTTCCGCACCATGTCTTTAAAATATGGACATTTATTTTACTCCAGTATTTATAATGGAGTTTCTGCGCTCGCCTGCTGATATTGACAGTGTGTGCGTATAAATGACTTTTCATCTTGCTTTACACTTGAACAACTAAATGAATGCTGAAGTTTATTTATTTTAATTACATTACAACATCCATGCTGTAAAAAGAACTGCATAACAGTAAAAAAGTCACATTAACTGTTCACCAGAAGTTTATCAGTAGGGGAAAAATACACAAATGCATACACCCTATTGAGACTTTAACTAATTATATGTTTATCAACTCCATGCCCCCAAAACACCCTCAGAACAGAGGGTTAATCAGATACCAGAGGTGCTTTATTTCCTGCTAAACAAAATAACAAAACTACACCAACTCACTGTTCGCTGCCGTATCCTTCTGGAACCAGCCCAATAGACACACCCACCACAACTAGAGCAAGCACATATCCAATCACACACAAGAATCCACTGCTAAGCACCTCCTTCTTTTTGGAGCTGATTCGTGATAGGTTCTGTACACAGATGAAGAGCAGCACAGCTTCAATGAACATCCACACAAAGGCGGAGAGGAAGAGGAAGTGCAGAAGGCCTGCTATCGCCACACAAAACACCTGGAGAGCATGAGAGAGGGTTATGATGATTCTCAGTGCGGCTGTGCTGAGCTGTAGAGCTCCTTCATCATTCTCACCTGCTGAGGGCGAATGAGGCTCAGGAACTGTTGTGTGAGCAGAAACAGAAGGTGAGCCGACAGCAGACTGATGCAGATGTTGATTCGAGCCACATTATTGACTCCAGGACTCCACTGACAAAGAGCAAAGGACAACAGAGCCAAACTGAAGAACACCAGACCCACGATCACACACACCAGATTCAGCAGCTCCAGCAGATCGCTCTGAGAAAACATGCAGAGAACATGAGTGCCAGATCTGTGCTGCTCTTCAATGCTCTCTAGAAATGTTCTGGTACCGATTCTGGTGGAGTGCTGCTGGTCTGCATGATGAGAGCGAATGTGGACAGATGAACACAGGAACACACAGTGTGGCTGCTGTTGCTGTTTAACACAGAACAACCATCTACAATCCACTCGCTGTCATTCCAGTACACACAGGACAGAGAACTCTTAGGGTTAAACCCCTGCAAAAACAAGCACCAACAAGCATGCAGCATCAGCAAAGAAGTCTTTTTTCTGGGTTTACAGGAAACCTTGCTACAGTAGATCAACACTGACTGATAGCAATCAATTAAATTAACTCACTTGGATGTGTTTGAGGGTGAAGTTGACTGGTTTGGTGAGTGCAGTGTTGTTGGTTTGGGAAAGAGTAGCTGAGATCACAGTGGACATCATTGTTTTAACTGTGTTTTCTGAAGTGTTGAAGAAGTCAGGTTTAAGTATACTGTCCATTGCGCTGTAGCTCACGAAAGCCACAGAAGCACTTTCTGTAAAATGTAAAATTAAACATAATACAGTAAAGTAAAATAGCATAAATAATTTAGTTGAAAGACAAAAGTAAAAAAAAAGACAGTTTAGATGTGTATTTTTTACGAGTGCTCAAGCTTCCCACATACTTGAAATGCTCTGCTTGGCAATCCCAATTAGGTCGATCTCCAATTGGGCCGTTTTAGTATAGATGGGAGGAATATCTGCTGCAGATGCATTGACTCCAATTGCAAGAACTGTAACTTCTACGATGTAGAAAATCAAGAACACATGTAATCTCTCTTATGAACAGATGTAATCTCTTACAAGTTGATATATGGCTGTTTTACTGTACATGTTGCTGTGCATAGCTTCCTCACAGGAATTTTAGGTCCATACATCTTAGCTTTGTAGGGTAAGATTAATAAAAAAACATTTAAAAATGGTATTTGAACTTTTGCTGGAGAACATTTTTTGGAGGGAACAAACTGACGGGTATGAAAAAAAAAATTATGGATTCTTGGATTTCTCAAGAATAATTTATTTTATTATAATGGATACTCTTCCCAGCATCATAGTTTTACTATTGAAGCACGTTAAATACACCCAAATATGATATATGGCCATTATATGAATACATAAATATAACTCTAGCTAAACTATTTGAAGATTCATGTATTTATTTGTAATTCTAATGCTTAAATGCTAATACATGTCATTTTTGCATTATTTTGAAATTCACGTATGACATTTTTGAAATTGAAACTTGCTATGCTAAATATGCCATATACAGTGTATCCGGAAAGTATTGACAGCACTTTACTTTTTTCCACATTTTTTATGTTACAGCCTTATTCCAAAAAGGATTCAATTTTATTCAGCATTCTACACACAATACCCCATAATGATAATGTAAAAAAAAGAGTTTTTGAAATTGCTGCAAATTTATTAGAAATAAAAAAGCTGAAAAATCACATGTACATCAGTTTTCACAGGCTTTGGCTAAAGCTCTACATTGAGCTAAGGTCATTCTGTTTCCACTGATCATTCTTGAGATGTTTCAGCAGCTCCATTGGAGTTCACCTGTGGTTAATTCAGCTGAAAAGGCATAAACCTGTCTATATAAGGTTTGACAGTGCATGTCAAAGCCCAAACCAAGCATGAAGAAAAAGGGATTATCTCTAGACCTCCGGGACAGTATTGTCTCGCGGCACAAGGCTGGGGAAGGTTACAGAAACATTTCTGCTGCTCTGAAAGTTCCAATGAGCACAGCGGCATCCATCATCCGTAAGTGGAAGATGTTTGAACTACCAGGACTTTTCCAAATGCTGGCCGGCCATCTAAGCTGAATGACCGTGGTGAAGGGTCGGGGAGGTGATCAATAAGCCGATGGTCACTCTGTCTAAGCTCCAGCATTCTTTTGTAGAGAGAGGAGAACCTTACAGAAGGACAACCATCTGTGCAACAATCCACCAATTAGGGCTGTATGGTAGAGTGGCCAGACAGAAGCCACCAGCCCGCCTGGAATTTGCCAAAAGGCATCTGAAGGACTCTCAGACCATGAAAAACTAAATTCTCTGGTCTGGTCTGGTCTGGTCTAACTCTTTGGAGTGAATGCCAGGAGTTATGTTTGGAGAAAAGCAGGCAGCGCTCATCACCAGGCTAATACCATCCCTACAGTGAAGCATGGTGGGGGAAGCATCATGCTGTGGGGATGTTTTTCAGCAGCAGGAACTGGAAGACTAGTGAGGATAGAGGGAAAGATGAATGCAGCAATGTACAGAAACATCCTGAATAAAAACCTGCTTCAGAGTGCTCTTGACCTCAGACTGGGGCAACGGTTCATCTTCCAGCTAGACAATGACCTGAAATGGCTGTACATCGTCGCTTCCCATCCAACCTGATAGAGCTTGAGAGGCACTGCAAAGAGAAATTGGCCAAAATTCCCAAAGACAGGTGTGCCAAGCTTGTGGCATCATATTCAAAAGACTTGAGGCTGTAATTGCTGCCAAAGGTGCATCAACAAAGTATTGAGCAAAGGCTGTGAATACTGATGAACGTGCTTTTTCAGCTTTTTTATTTTTAATATAAAATACATTTAATATATTGTGTGTAGATTTTCGGATACACTGTGTGTGATTTGCATATGTTGCCATTATATGTCAGATTTCTGTGCTCTTTACCTGTATTGTTGAGAGCAATATTCTTCACGGTCATATTATCTGTTGCCACGACCAGTGCAGACACCAGATTCTCAAAGGCGTTCAAATACGCGTTTCCAAATGACACCAATGTACTTTTTTCTACAGGACTGTCAGAAGTCGAAACCTTCATCTGAGCAGCATCAACCACACTCAAAAAGTTTCCAGCATCCTAATCAGAAACCAAAGAGAGACTCATGTAGAATGCAAACGATTTCTATGCAAAAAATAAACTAATATCAAATCTCAGGGTCATTCTCAAAATATGGTGACATAATGTTTATATAAAATAACACATTTATAATATGATATAGGGTGAAGCAGTGGCGCAGTAGGTAGTGCTGTCGCCTGACAGCAAGAAGGTCGCTGGGTCGCTGGTTCGAGCCTCGGCTCAGTTGGTGTTTCGGTGTGCAGTTTGCATGTTCTACCTGCGTTCGTGTGGGTTTCCTCCAGGTGCTCCGGTTTCCCCCACTGTTCAAAGACATGCGTTACAGGTGAATTGGGTAGGCTAAATTGTCTGTAGGGTTTGAGTGTGTGTGTGTGTGGATGTTTCCCAGAGATGGGTTGCGGCTGGAAGGGCCCCTGGCTGGATAAGTTGGCGGTTCATTCTGCTGTGGCGACTCCGGATTAATAAAGGGACTAAGCCAGGGGTGTCCAAAATTTTTGGGCCGAGGGCCAGATGCAAAAAAAAAAAAATTTACATCACACAGACACGCATATATATATATATATATATATATATATATATATATATATATATATATATATATATATATATATATATATATATATATATATGTGTGTGTGTGTGTGTGTGTGTGTGTGTGTATGTGTGTGTGTGTGTGTGTGTGTGTGTGTGTGTGTGTGTGTTAATTATTTCAACTGTGTTTCTAGAAAGACTTACGTTTTTAAAATCTTGAATCTTCTCTAGGCAAATTACAGTTGCAACACTCATCAGACACTCCTATATAAATTCTCCTTCAGTGAAGGGTTTCCTGTGCATAACTAGCCAGCATAGAATTTTCTTGCTCTTTATTAGCATTAACAAACTGCTGTTGTTGAGCTGACAGGGCAGCTGCTAATTGTTGTACTTTTTGATCTCGTTCGGCACCAGTGTAAAAGCTGAAAGCCTGATGTTTTGTTTCATAATGTCTTTTAATATTATATTCCTTCATTACTGCAACTGATTCCTGGCAAATTAAACAGACACATATTCCACTGACCTCTGTGAAGAAATATTCTTTGCCCCAACGTGACTAAAATGTCCTGCTTTCGCCGGTTTGTTTGCTTCATTACAGGAACTGCTGCCTAATTGAAGGCGTGTCATAGCGTTATTAATTGAATTACGTTCATTTTTGTATAGCGGGCCAGATTCTATTAATATTTATAAAAAGCCTCGCGGGCCGCCACAAAACTGATTGCGGGCCGTAGTTTGGACACCCCTGGACTAAGCCGACAAGAAAATGAATGAATGAATAATGTAATATAAAAGATTTAGTCTCTTTTTAATCAGGTGCCAGATAAACAATACAACTCATGTATCCATTTTCTTGTTAAACAATTTACTGTACATAACATTAAATTGGTAATAAATTATCTTTAGCAAAATATCTAACAATTCTGCAAAAAAAGTGTCCACAGAGCTGGTCAGAGCTGGTCTCCCAAGGTATTTTTTCCCCCTTCATTTCTGTGACTTTGAGTTTAGATTACTTTCCACTGATGCCTTTGGCTAGCATATTGAGGCCTAAAACACATTTAATATTCAGTGATAACTCCAGCTTGACAGCACTTGAACTTGTTTTATAATCAGTGAATGTTTCTTTGTTATTGAACTTAACCGAATCTTTACTGTATTGAATTAAGATGAATACGAACACTGTTTTCTTGGTCAGAGTTATTATAGTTATCATTAAACTATTTTAGCTTGAAATTTTCAATCGATTTCAGCTTGTAATATTCAGCTCATGTTTTCAACTAAAAGACTAAACTAACGCATAATGTAATTTACAAAAAAGAATAAGACTTTAACCAATATGAAAATTAAACCAATAAAAAATAATTCAAAGTATTAATAAAGACAATTCTGACTCTACTTTTGTGTTTTAATAATGTGAAGTGGCTTTTAAACAGTTTTTATTGTAAAGTACAACACAATAAATATGACTTGATTTAATTTGAACCATGTGGACTATTACATGTTTGCAATTTTAGACCACACCTATAATAGAATGCATATCCTGTACTGATAAGATTGTGAAACTGGCCAACAATAGATTTTTGTTTTATGCCTAAATCATTAGATTATTAAGTAAAGATCATTTTGCATGAAGACATTTTAGATACTGGTATTATATTAAGTCATGTCTGTGCACCAGTTTTTAGTACAAAAAAATACTGTAAGTGTAATCTGAAGATTGTTATTGTTATTTTTATTAGCAAGATAGTAACATTAACCAACTTCTATGGTAGAAAGGAACTAAACTATTTCAATACAAGCAAAAAATAAAGGTTAAATGTTTTTGATAATGACCCTATGTTGGTTCAGAACAGGAAACGTTACTCACTGTGGGAGACAGTTGACCTGACATATTGGATATCAGATTAAGCAGATTCGTAGTGCTTGCGACTGTCTGCTGCTCAAAACAAAGAAGAGAAAATAGTTCATCAGATCACATTACATGTAACGGAATTGTTTAGAAATTATTTCCCACATACGTTTGGAGAGCCGACTGAAGTTGTCATATCTATAAGGAGAGAATTAAAGAAATGTGTAAACGATTCAATTCAAACATCTGACATGAAGAAGCACAAGAAGACGTTGTGTTGTACACACCTCCAAGGCAGGTGCAGGAGTGTGTATCCGCACGGCAATCACAGAGGTCAGAATAAATGTCGTAGTTGCAGTTGATGCTGCAGTTGTAGGATCCGAGCTTGCAGGAGCAGCCAGAACTTTTACTGTTGCAGGAATAGGCCATGCAGGCAGTATTTTGTCCAAGACAGGCTCTCTCTACATAACTGGAGGTATTAGCACAGGTGCTTGTGTTCGCCAAAGGAGAGCAGTAGTAGCTCTTCTGACATTGTCCAATTGCTATGTTATATGCAACCAACATCAGCTGCAGTGCTAAAGAGATAAATCCATCAGTTATTATATAAATCTGTATAAATCACAGGATGTGTTTTGATTAGTAGACTAGACTAGACTCTACATTGTGCTGTTTTCTGGAAAATATGGGTGTCAAAATAAATTTTCGGTGCACCGCAATGCAGACAATTCAGTATCGTTCAGTAATAATCATAACCGTTATAATGTACTGACGTCATTTACCTCATATGCGTTAGGTCGCCGTAGCTTACTATGGCGAGGGAGAAACTGTGGACAGTTTCAATGCGTGTATTTGCTGGACAGTCTTTCACAGACACAGCAGAAGACTGTATTTCAATGCGATTGAGAAAATAAAAGTAAACTGCATTTCTCTCTCTCTCTCTCACTGTGGCCCATTTAAACGGCTGGCGTGCTGTTTCCTCTCCTCTCCGCTGTTACAGCGATACTTCTAAATACAGACACGAGAGCGTGGAGTTTTCACCACCGTGTCTCTAGTCTATCACGGGTCAGCTGTGTTCGCCTCTGCCGTTTGTCAGTGTCACTCAACTGTGAAGAGTGCCAGCATGTTAGAGCCAATCACAGCCCTTTCTGTTGAGCGTGTGACCAATCAAAGGGGTGTAAGAAAGACCTTGCCAGATAAGGAAAGCGAACGAGATATTTTTATTTCTTCTTTTGCTATGAATGCTTGTGTTAAAGGTACAGTTTATATATCTGACTGTTTGTATTAAAGGACACAATTGTATTACAAATAGTATATAATATAAATATATTCATATATTTTAGTACAAGAATTGCTGTGCTGTGAAAAAAAATATAAAATTGTGCATGGAAAGCATCGTCAATGCACCGTGATGCACCGAGATATCGAATTGAACCGAATCTATGGCATGATAATCGTAACCGAACCATGAGACCAGTGTAGGTTCACACTTCTAGTGAACATTGCTAAACTGCTAATTTTTGACAGAATTGCCATAAACTTGATTTGCCCAAAATGCTACTGATTTCCATATCTGTCAACGTCACCAATTTGCATTATTTCTTTTCTGAACGCTCATTTTTGAATAAACATTTATATTTTGTTTAACATGAGCTAAGAAAAAGGCTACTCACCTGTTAAATGAAGGATGAACTTCATATTGATCTGAAAAAGCTTAATATTCGCTAATTCTCAGACAAAATAATGTCCGCTGTCAACTGCTGAACGCAAGCGAATGACCATAAGCTCAGTAAAAAAATGCATTTGCATTATGTTTTCCACACCTCACATATACAAAACTGTTGCCTTTTAAACAGTGCACTACTGTCTAACATCATTTACATATTTTCTGGGAAATGTTATTCCTTGCAGGTCAGTTAGGGGTTGGACTGTTTCCCAAAAGTACCTCAAAAAGAAGCATTCAATTACTGCAACAAAGATCATCTTCTTTATACAACCAGCACTAGTTTATGATAAGTATATGCGAAAACTAAATACAATTTAAAAAATGTCAGTCATTTAAATAATTGGAAAGTGAGAACAGGCAATTTACATAGACGTAACAATCAGTTATTTTTAGATGTTATTCTTTGTAAGGACATTTGTTTCTTTGTTTTTATTTCAGCCTGAACCGATGCACAAGAAGAAAGAAGGACCTCCTCTGAATTAGGGTTGCTCGATTATTGAAAATATAATTCCAATTATTTTGGTCATAATTATATCAAATGATTACAAGAGGGCCATTTGACAAAAACTTATTAATTTCTAAAATAAGAAAATATATAAATATGCAGTTCCTAGCATAATTGAGTACATCCCCTTAGAAAATAAATATTTTTTTCCATTTCTCAAGGAATATTAAACTGTTTTATTATATTCATTAAAATAAGAATGTAAATAACATGCCATCTTTGGGAATAGAAAGATAATGCATTTAAATTCAAATAAGCCATTTACAAAACGCACAGGGGCGCAGAAGGAAGTGCTCCTCAGTTGGCTTTTTGTGTGGAGTTTGCATGTTCTCCCTGTGTTTGCGTGGGTTTATTCTTGGTGCTCCGGTTTCCCCCACAGTCCAAAGACATGCAGTACAGGTGAGTTGGGTAGGCTAAATTGTCCATAGTGTATGAGTGTGAATAAGCATGGATGTTTCCCAGAGATGGGTTGCAGCTGGAAGGGCATTTGCTGTGTAAAAACATGTGCTGGATAAGTTGGCGATTCATTTCGCTATGGCAACCCCAGATTAATAAAGGGACTAACCCGAAAACAAAATGAATTAATTTAAATGTATTTAAAACAGGGCAGCATGGTGGGGCACATCACAGCAAGAAGGTCGCTGGTTTGAGACCCGGCTGGGTTAGTTGGCAATTCTGTGTGGACTTTGCATGTTTTCCCCGTGTTTGCATGGGTTTCCAGTCCAAAGACATGCGCTATGCTGGATAAGTTGGCCATTTATTTTGCTGTGGCCACCACGAAAAGAAAATGATTGAATATTAAAACAACTAAAATTTATATTTTCATACCTAGTTAATACTAATTTAGAGTTAAGATGCAAACATTTAGTCTTTAAGACACTATGAATGACTGAAAACCCTGATAGGCTGCTGTCATTCTTGCCATTAGTGTTTATGTTCAGCTCTGGGTTCACTTTTCCAGCCAATAGCAAGACAGCAACTACTGTGGAGGTGGGGATAAAGATTGGTCAAATTTAGATAAACAACCAATGCATAAAATAAATGTAATTTCATATCATGATAATGGTGTATTCACGATTTGTTGTGCAGCCCTATCCACAATAATAATAACAAAAAAAAAACTGATCTCAGACCAGAAGCTAATAACACCAACGAGCTCATGTCACAAGCAAACAGAGGATGTGGTCATATAGTACGTCACTCGAAGACATTAACCACACACTCATAAATCTCTCATCATCCCTATCCAGAAAGGGATGATTTTTATAAGCATGCAAAACATCTTGTAAACTAAATTATTTGCAATTCAAATGATTCAAAACACAGACGAATGTCTTGAATGCAGGTCAATAAAGAAAGATGCTACTTGCAGCTAAACTAAGTGTAGTTCTGAAGTCTACAGCAAAAGAGGGTGCTCTGATAAAAATCACACTTTAATCTTACTCCATATATGCATACACACATCAGTGGTTCACAGACATGCTGAAATAATGTATGTCCAACTACATCACACTGATTAGCATCAGACTGCTCAGACAAAAATAGTCTAACAAGATGCTGTGACAGGAAACGCAAACCAGATATCTGCGAAAGGGCTTCAAGTGTTAAACCAGGAAGCAGATGCTGTTCCAGTACATGCATGAGGTCTTCTATGATTTAAACATTTAGACATTGTATATTGTTTTGACATTAGATATCGTATATTTCTCAAGAACTAAAAAAACTGTGCATATTAATCAGAATCTTCATGGCAGTTAACTTGAACCTGAACCAGGAAGCACTAATATAAAGCGGAATTTAACAGGTTTATTCAAAGATGAAGTTAATCTGTGTTCTTTGGATCTGGATTGGTCTGTCAGGTGAGCTCTCTATTTATATTTCCACTGTTGTTGTAACCTGTACTGTAGTAACTTTTTTACTGTTGTGTTTGTATCCCTATTTAAAATGACCAGTAACTGGTTTGATACGCTTGTCTGAATAGTGTTCACACACTGTACAAGTCCTAGATAAGAAAAGTGACTATGTAAACCATGTAAGTTAACCATGTAAATAGAGTTAACAGAACATACAGTGGTGTGAAACCCACTCACGGATTCTGCACGTTTCTCACACTTTAATGTATCAAACAAATTGAAATATTAGATAGTGAACATGTCATGGCCCCGTTTAAACCTAATAACAAGTTCGACCAACCTAACCAGCAACAACAGCAATCAAGCATTTTTATTACTTGCAATAAGTATGTTACACAATAAGCGCTGTGGAGGAATTTTGGCCCACTCATCTTGTCATGTCACAAAATCTCAATAGGATTCAGATCAGGACTTTGACTAGGCCACTCGAAAGTCTTCATTATGTTTTTCTTCAGCCATGTAGAAGTGGATTTGCTGGGGTCCGTTCTTCGTACCTCGCTTAAATGATCTAAGATTATTTGGCAGATCCTGGATCTTTTAATCTTGATAACTGATCTCTCGCTAATTTGGTTCTTCAAACAAGTTCGCGAATTAGATTAGAATGTCTGGATAAACTGATCTGAGATCGCTGCGTGTGTTATGAAGGACAGATCTATCAATCCTCGAAATCATGATCAGCAATGCAATGATTGGCTGACGGCACAGCAGCGTAATGACATCATCTGATTAATATTCAATTATCCATGTGAGCAAAATTACATTAAATTAGCAGTAAACGGTTTGTTTAATATGACACGCAAGAACTTTCCACATTTGTTGTGAGCTGCAGGCTTTACACTTTCATTTGTCAAGACAAGAGTATTCATCATGCATTTCAATGCAAATCAATGTATTTAGTTCCACATTTAGAAAATATTTTCTTTATTATAGTAGCCGTTTTTTAATCGGTGTAAAGAATAACTGGTTGTTTACAAAAGCATTTTCATATTGGTAAAGGCGTCTGCAACTTTTGTGAAGCATCACTGGCATATTAACTATCAAAACATGTTTATGACTACATAAATGTATTATTGCTTTAAAAAAAGTCACATATTGTGCATTTCTATTATACACAATTTGTATTAAAGCGATCTAAAAAGTTCATATCGATAAGTTTTCTCTTTGCACCACCAGGTGGCAGTCTTTGTACTTTCATTTTGAGGGTGCAGATTGCATACGTTTTATTAATATGTATAACTTTATTTATCTTATTAATGACTTTAACTTTATATATAGTTAAAAAATATGTACCATTTTCCCAAGTGTATATAACTACTACTGTAAGAAAATATCAGAATTCGGAACATACTTTCTGTATTATCTTTGCTTGAACTGAGCCGATCTAATCCTGTTTATATGAATTGAACCTGCTCCCGATCAGGTTTGACCTAGCAGAACTGTTGCCATGACAACAACTCTCGGATCAGCTTTGAAGAACGAAACGATCCTGGATCATGTCAAATCGTCAATATCCAAATCCAGCTAACTGAGTAATCCACGTACGAAGAACGGACCCCAGGTGTTCTTTGGATCATTGTCCTACTCCAGAACCCAAATTTGCTTCAATTTGAGTTCACTAAAAAAATGGACAGACATTCTTCTTCAGGATATTTTGGGACACAGCACAACTCATGGTTCCATTTATCATAGCAAGTCTTTCAGGTCTCGAAGCAGTAAAATAGCTCCAGACCATCACATTTTACTGTTGGTATGGTGTTTTTTTGTTTTTTGTTTTTTGTTTTTCAACAGTGTTACTTTTACCCTACACAGACACAAATCTTCCAACATGTTTTAGTCTTCTGTGCCATGTAAACCATATCTGCGCAGTCTCTATCTTATGGTGGAGTCATGAACACTCAACCAAAGCAAATGAGGCCAGCAGTTATATATTATATACAGAATCAGAGCTCAACAATAAGGACTGCCCGATGGCCCGGGGCAGCAGATAAAATGGTTAATGGCCCGACCGGACCAGTGCTGCCTTGTCACTAAATTTGAATTTGCCTGGGACTATTTGTCAGCTGCATGCAAATATAGTCTTAGAATCGAGAAACAATTTGTGCTTTTAAGTCTTTAAATGCTACCTTTTCTGTGAAGTCATAAACACCATATTGCTTTTCGGTTCCTCTTATCAGATTGGATGTTGTGAGCACATAATTTTTTTTTTGTAACCTGGTAAAAACCAGCACAGTGAAGAGACGACAACATGGCCACATCAATTTAAAAGGCTAAAAGAGAACATCCGTTTCTAACATTGTAGAAACAGACATTTACATGGGTACAACACCATGAAAAATGAAGTGATGTTTTGCATAGTTTGCAAACTTTTAAGTCAGCCACCTTTTGTTTTGCAATAAAATACTTGCACATTTTCCATACTGCAAAATATTTTAACATTTTTTAAATATTAAAATTCTAGATTCACAGATATTTTTTACACATTATTCAAAATATTTGGCTAAGAAATAGCTATATTGGCTTTTTTTTTTTTGTGGTGAGGGGCCTGTGAAAATTTTGGCAGGACAGGTAAAAATCTGAACCACTGGTCCAATCGGGCCAGTAGAAAATATCCTTAGCGTTGAACCCTGAGGGGGCTTTTGTGACCTGTTGGATGAGTTGTCGCTCATCTCTTGCGGTAATAAAATTCCAGGGAAGGTTCTTCACTGTTCCGTGTTTTTGCCATTCGTAGATAACTGCAAAGTCCCTTTAAGGCAAGTAATTTCACTCGATGGCCATCTTTGAAACACCTCTTGGGCAGTATGCTTGGGCATTCTGTTTGAACAGGGAAACATTAAATTCTCCAAAACTGTTTGCCAAGCTTATGATTGCATTACAAATTTGGAATCACTAATAAAATTAAACAACGGTCTAAAAAGTTTTGGCTCTAAATGTTTGAATCAAACAAAATCTGTATTTTTTCATGTTGCCCAAACTCTACACATTCTCATTCTCTGAATAATGGCCGTCAGTCTCAGTCAGTCTATAGCGATTAATGATTGGTTCCTGTATTAGTAGGTGGGGCTTAATTCGCCATATTGACTGTTACAGTTTTACCCATTCAAAACTATTTGAGTGACGTGTCTTGTGTATAATATAGTCTTTGATAATAGCCATCACTCTGGTTTGCTGCAGTTCTAAAGCTTTAGAAATATTGTTATAACTATTTCTAGACTGGTAGATCTCTATTATTATCTTTGTCACTTGTTTTTAAATTTCTATGGATGTCCGTATAATGACTAGCTTTTAAGGATCTTTTGATCTACTCCACTTGTAGAGTAGGTCCTATTTCCAGCGGATGCCCTTCCAGCCGCAACCCATCCCTGGGAAACATTCACACATGCCCACTTACACTCATACACTACGGACAATTTAGCCTACCCAATTCACCTGTAGCACATGTCTTTGGACAGTGGGGGAAACCGGAGAACCCGGAGTAAATCCACGCGAACCCTTGACCATTTTGACACTAAAATGAACTTTTATTGTTAGCATATAATAAAGCCAATCTGCCAAAACCACAGGTTCTGGAATATCTGGTCAACTTTTTTAAAACAACATTTCAATATTTTCTAATATGGTTCATGCTTATATTTTATTGATTCCAATGTATACATTTCTTTTTAACTGAACTATAACTTTCCAGCATGTTAATTAACTGAATTGACACTTATTAAGATGACTATTTGGTAATAAATGTATTACCATTAACATTTCCATCAAACTGTTTCAGCTACTGATGGGAGTAGTCTACATGGAGATGCAGGGAACTACATCAATATTTCTTGTTCCCATAGCTGGGCTTCAAACAACAAAAAGTTTTTCTGCAGAGATCCATGTAATGACAAGAATGATATTTTAGTAAACTCTGACAAGTCATCTAAAGGAAGATACACACTGAATGACTTTGGAAAAGGAGTCTTTATTGTGACCATCACTGATCTGAAAGAGTCTGACTCTGGGGTTTACTGGTGTGGAGTGGAGAGATCAATTAAAAACACATTTGTTGAAGTCAAACTGGCAGTATATAAAGGTAAGGATGATGCTTAGTATTAGCAGTGCAAATACTCATTTGCATATCAAATACTCTCTATATGTTAATTATTATTTGTTTAGGCAAAACTTTAAAACAACCCAAAATTCCAAAAACAGTGACAGATCCTCAATCCTCAACAAAAAGTGTAATCTCTTCATCTTCAACACTTGATGACTTCTCCAGTTCTTCTACAGCAGGTAACAGTTAATCAGTATTGATCATTTGTCTATATGAATGAATAAATTAATGAATGAATTTCTCTTCTTTTATAGAATTTAAATATCCTGCGTTTTCATCCAGACCAGCTTTTTATGAGAATACTAAACAATTAGGTGAGTTGTAATTTACCTTATTCTGCAATGCAGAAGTATCCATAACAATTGAGTTTTAATCAAAAAGCGTAAAAATGGCTACTCCTAAATTTGTTATGAAAATACACTTTGGATGGCCTGGGGTAAGCAAATAATAAGAAATTGTTAATTTTTGTGTTAACTTTGAGAATGCCGTTACAATTAAGTTTTTGAAGGTTGAGATAATTCTGCAATGCTAATGGGACTGTTAATCAAGTGTTTCTGTTGATTTTAGATTATCAGATGTTCACTCCCATCATTCTGACTCTCGTGGTAATTATATTTGTGGTAGTTCTCTGTTTAGTTTACATGCGAAAGAGAAAATCACACAATTCTGATGGTAAGTGACAATATGCTGCATTCTCTAAATATAGTCTTCCACATAATCTGTCAGCTAAAACATTTCATTGTTTCCAACTTTAGCTGATGCGGAAATGCAAAGCACCACATATACTACAGAGGTGAGGAAGAAAACTTAAGTGTTGAATTTTTTTATTATTATTTTATTTTCTCAATTTATCTTTGGAAATTCTGACTTCTAAGTGAAATGAATTATAATACAGGCATTATATTCATACTGCTATCTGTGTAGGTCATTTATTGAATTTCAATGCATGCTAATTTAACTTACATCATATCTAATAATGATCATCAAACATATGTAACATGCCAGAAATGAAAGTAACTTAAACATTGTCTTGTTCACTATATTTAAGACGTCGCTGAATCAACAGGCTGCTGGTGATTATGAGGAGATCACAGAGACCCCGCAGCAGATCAGCACACACTCCACTTATTGCAATGTGATTAAAACTCATACAGCCAATCAAAACCAAGATCCCCCACCATATTCCCTCCTCTCCTTTCAGCCAAGCTGCACCAAACAATCTCCAAACAACAGCGCTGATTAGGTTGGATTAAAAAATCCAACCCAGGCTCATTCTGAACGTACTCCTATATACATTTCTGAAAAGGGGCAAACACATTCCAGGAGCTATGTTTCTTGCAGTTTTTTGTTTTGGCGAATCCACCAGTGTCCGCTGTGTATGCTTTTTTAAGATCTCATTTTCTCTCAGTAGTGCCATTCACGCCACCAGAGGCCGCTATGTGCTGACTGACTGACCAATCAACTGACCCAGCCTCCTCCTTCCCTAAACCCAACCAATAGTGTTTTAAAAAGCACCATTTGACTCACCCACCCACTTCCCCAAACCCAACCAACAGCGATCCAGAAAAAGTCAAGCCCTCACTCCAGCCTGATTTTTACAACTTTTCCGATTTTACCAGACTCGAACCCTGTCATCGCGGTAAACTCCACTTTACGTCACAAGTCTCCCCACGTACATGGTCGAGCTACTGAGCAAACTGGTAACAGTGGCACAGCTGTCCACACGGAGGTAAGCGGTCAGCTGGTAAGAGCAAAAAAGGAACAGCGTCATACCGCCCCATAGCGCTCATTTTAAAGACAAAATGCAGCCATATGTTTCTCTGGCTATATAATTGATGATCTACAGAAATTTATACAGGGGTTTGTTTTCAGATTGAGCCTACATTGAAAAAAATCCCATAACATTATTGTAGCAATTTACATTTTTAATAAACTGTATTCATTAATTCGATGTTTACATATTGCAGCAGAAAAACAGTATATTATTTTACCCTACAGATGTTTTGTGTAGGCTATATCTATCTAGCATTTAACTACTAAGCTTTGTTTATACCCTTGTTATACTACCAATTAAGACAGATAATGCTATAGCGTTAAAACAGATGCAGTGTTGTCTGTGTAAATGTAATTTTCAGTAACAAAGGCACATTTTAACGGAAAAAAAAAATCAGTTGGCTTGATAACTAACAAGAGTAACTTTAAATATGTTGACCTATCATTATTTTTTTTTAATAATTGCTTTTTTACAATTCTGTTTGCACTTTCTGGCTGCCTACTAATTGAAACCAATTATCAGAGGCATGTATGATTCATAGAATTAGTATGTCTAAGTTAATTGATAACAGATTGTGTGTTTTTTTTTTTTTTGGGGGGGGGGTGGAGATGCATGTTTATTGTAAATGAATCAAAATCTTAGATCCTAATGTTGCACAAGTTTCAGAGATTCTGATGATTGTACGACCAAAAACCCATTTATGTACAAGCAATCAGGAAGTAAACTGTAGAACAACAAATACATGTGACTAAACTAACTTTCTTTTCATTGTTCCTCTTACTGCCCGTTACCTGGTCCTGTTTCAAATATATTTCTCTGATGACATCCTGTGCTGCAATTTCATTTAAAGTATTATTTGTATATTGGACAATGTATATTTGTATATTTTATGCTGCTACTTGTTGTTTGTGTCATCTCTATGCACCCATTACTCTGAGAGTAATGCAATATAAATTCTCTGTATGTTTGTATATGTGAACTGACAATAAAGCGGTCACTTTAAATGTTACCATCTTGTCATTTTGCCAACTGAAAAAATAACGACTCCATAATTAGTTTGTACTGTAAATATGTTTCGTACAAACACCTATTATATAAACTTGAAGTTCAGTTCATTGACATTTGTTAATGTTTTAAAGCTATAATTCAATTAATTTTCCCAATACCAGCATGATATGCAGTGAGCTACATTCAAGTCTTTACAGGTAGTCATTGAAATACTCAATGGAAAAACCCTGTTTTGGGGTTGTTACTGGTGATTTTGAACTTTTGTCACAAAAAAATAAAAAATGACACTTTAATCAATTTCAATGGAGTTATCGAGGTTCTTTGCCAGATAAAGAATCTCTCATACAGATTGGCCTTCTTCAAAAATACCCTTTTAAAACATACCAATGGGAAACAACTCTAGTATTAGAAAGGAAGTGGTCACTAAACCATGCATGTTTTCGTGGTATTTTATGGTTTTGAAGACACAAAAAAAACACCTTTATTTTAAGTGTGATCTCAGTTGGACACCTAAAGACTACTCAGTCTATCCTACATAGTGCAAAGCTCGGACTCAGCAGAATTACTGCTCAAAATGAAGTTATTCTGTGCTTTCTGGCTCTGGATCTTTCTGTCAGGTCAGTTTTCTACACATTTATCACAGTCAGTAAAAATAGCAGTAATTCCTGTTTTCTATTAAGCTGCCAAATTATTGACTGATTGATATAATATTTAATATGAGATTGTTTCTATAGTTGGGCACCACAGTGACCAGATTTAATTAATGGTTTAAAGCTATAATTAAATTTATTCACATATATTTATTAAGCAGATACATTTATCCAATGCAACTTACAAAGGAGTATATGAAAATCTTAAATCACCAGAAAAATACCGTTTGTATGCAGTGACAAGTATTGGCTAGTTTAGCATTTGTGAGTTTGATATTGTCTATATAAAACACATAAGCAGCGCAAACAGATATGTTAAGAACAGAATAGGAAGTGCTATTATGAAAAGATTATGTGTTGACAAAACTGATGGCGTCTTCAGCTGTTTCTTAAAAATGGACAAGACTCAGCTGTTTGGGTTTGAAATTTTCAAATCAATCTGCAATTTTATATTTGATCAGATTTACAGTCTGAAATTTTTGCATCTCAAAAAAATAAATACAAGCTTACATTGCTCAATCACAACTCTGCCTCCGAAATATTCGCTCAACATAAATTCAGACATTTTGAGAGGGGTTTTGACAATTCAGTGCCATCATACAAGTAAAGACAAAATCTCTGCCAAACTAATTAACTTCATCTCGCAACACAGAGCTCTTTGACAATCAAACTGCATAATATAAAGACAGATAATGACGGGTGCTTGACAATCACTTCTGTTGCCTATTGTAAACTGGCTCCATGCTGCTGTTATGTGTGTGTGTGTTTGTGTCTTCGTGTATTTGACATACTGCTAGTCTCTGTTCAGGGTCTAATGGACACAACATTTCCTTATTATTAAATTTGCATTAAAAAATTCATTTTTAGGATAACGAATATAAAAATTTAAAGCAAAATTTAATTCTTATAGAAATGTTTTTCAACAAATTAATCCACCAGCAGGAGTGAAAGTCCAATTGATTTTGCAATGACTGATTTGATTGATTTCAAATTGAAATGAATTGAAATATTGTGCATTCATTTTATCCAACAGGATTTGGTATTGCAACTTCTGCAGATATTAACATACAAGAATACACTGGAAAATATGTGATAATTATATGTTCCCATAAATGGGCCTCAGATAACTTCAAGTACTTCTGCAGAGATCCATGCACATATAAAGACGGTGCTCTTGTCTCTTCGAAACAAGCAGAAGTAGGGAGATACAGATTGAAAGATTTAGGAGATGGCTCCTTCACTGTGACCATCGCTGATCTACAAGAGTCAGACTCTGGGATTTACTGGTGTGGTGTGGAGAGATCAATTAAAGACACATATGAGAAAGTCATACTGGAAGTCTCTAAGGGTAAGAATGACTTTTTCCAGTGTCATTTGTATTTTTCTCAGTTATTTATTTTTTCTTCTCCTATGCAGATCCTAATGAAAGCATCGCCACATCCACACAAGCATACACAGACATGCACACATTCATGGATTCACACACAACCTACACACAACCAGAACTATCCTCAGAGTCTCCGTCCACCACAGCGAGCAGTACCTGCAGATATTCAACCCTGGACAGCCTCACATTCCCACCCTCAGTTTCAGGTGACAACTTTATCAACCCTAATTTTAATCCGTATATTATAAGCCTTTAATAACGCATGGTTAGTTTCTTTTAGTTTGACAAAGAAATTAAAAGCCATTACAACTCAAATGTGGCTATATATTATTTGTGACAGTTACAAAACGAAGAGATTTGTTGACCGGTAGTGCTTGAAATGTTCATTCAGTGTTTTATGGGGAAAAAACTAACACTAAGTATGGAACAACTGATGATGGGCGCTTGAATTATTAAAAAAATAATTCACAACCACAATATGATTTAATATTAATAATAATTAAATGGACTAAAGTTAATTATTCTTCTTATAACTAGGGCTGGGCAATTAATCGAAATTCGACAATTCAGCACCTATAATTTTTACAAGTTGATTTTTTCAGGACATCACATGACCCCGCTCTGTTAAACGCTAAGGCTTATTTATATTTCTGTGGCCACTTTGCAGCCACATCTAATCTCTTGTCAAGTAGGACGATGGACCTATTCTTAAGCATTACTTTGCACTACAATGACAATGATTTGAAGCTGCTCTGGGATGCATTGATACGGCATATTTTCCGATATATCAAAATTATTTACAATAAAATAATTTGTTTACAGAAGATGCAAGAAATGCACTTTAAAATACTATTTACAGGATATACTAGAGTTGTTTTATTTAGAAAAGATATAGCTTATTTACTACTTTAAATATGAAAGACACTAATGCTGCGCTCACACCAGACACGTAAGAAGTGTCAAGTGCGAGTTTCAAGTGTCAAGTGCGATTTTTAACAAAACTCTGCACAGAAACAGTAAAAAAAATGTCAGCAGATTCCGTCTGGCCCTACTTATGCCGTTGCGCCTGTTGTTGGTATCCCAGGGGGAAATTCTCCTGCCGACACCAGACAACAGTTCATCAAACTCGGCTCAGTCGGAATTCATGCTGGAAGCTTCCATCATCCAGGTATAGTTTCTGGAGGAGTTTATAAACTTACAGAGCTGGGTGCACCTCTGAAAGAATGAAGTGAACTCAGACACGGCAAGTATGGAAGCTGTTTTTCAGCCTTCAATTTCTTAGCCATTTAGCAATGAAGCTACAGTCACCAGGCACACAGAAGCCCTGCCCATGACGCGAATCAGCGTCTATTGTGAAGCAGATTTGACGAGCGAATGAAGCGGATTTGACGCGCAAATGAAGTGAGTAAACTCAAAATGTTCACACGTCTATTTAGGCGCAAAAAGCTCAATTTATCCGAGCGTTCTGCGTCTGGTGTGAACACAGCATAACAATAATTTATTTTGTGTCCAAAAGTGAAAGCTATTTGTTACTTTTTTTTAATAAGAAAAAGTTCTCTGTTGGTTTTAGGCATTGTAATTTCATTCAAAAATCTCTTATTTGTAATTTATGAGAATATTTACTGTACAAAACCTGTCAGTGAAATATGAGGGCAATAAATAAATAAATAAATAAATAAAGTTACTAAAATAATTATTCATTAATCATAATGGAGTTAAAATGATCAATTAATCTAGACTTTGATTTTAGGCCAAATTGCCCAGCCCTACTAATAACACACCAAAATACATTGTTCAGATGTTGCATTTCAGACATTTGTCCTCAAACTGCTCCTGTGTGTAGCATTTGTTTCTCACAAACCTTTTACTAAAAGTAGCAGCTGTGAAATAACTGGAATCATTCAGCATAGTGATAAGGAACTGTAATGCAATCAAAACCTGCCTGGCAATACTTTAGCTGTGTGTTCCCCTAACAAAAATATAACCGCACATGTTTAGCAGCCAATCAGAATCGAGCATTCAACACCCCCGTAGTAAAATTTGTAGGATTTTAAGAAGGTACATCTGAATTTTTAGTGGGAATTTCCACATGTAACCAAAACCAATAATCAATTCTCTCTCTCACTTCCTCAGCATCTGTACACACTTCGCCATATGCTGCTGTTGGTCTGGGCTTGGCAGTGATCATACTTTTGGTTGGTTTAATCACTGTTCACCTGTACAGGAAGAGAGTCAAAACATCAGAAAGTATGTGCGCACAAACACACTCCCACTCGCGCACACACACACACACACACACACAAGTATCAAAATAATTAAAAGCTTGTTTCAAATAAACATGAAGCCAATACTCTTTTTAATGTTTTGCAGCAGCAACATCTGCAGACAGAAGTGACGGATTCAAAGAGGAGGTGAGACACATTGATGATTCTGACCAAAATCAAAATGAATGATCCTTACTAATGATGTTGTCGGATTTCTAATATGTACATCATTTTACTCAGAACTGTCAAGTAAATTAATATTGTCATTCATTTTTAGGGCATACAGAA